GACATTTACTTTTCTTCTTTTTTTCTTCTTCGTTTCTTCTTTTCTTTCTATCTTTCTTTGTGTTTTTCTTTTATTCCATCTTTCTTTCCTTTACTCTCCCTCTCCCTCTTTGTCTCTTTCTCTTTGTTTTTTTTCTTTTTTTTAAATCATCGTTTTCTTTCTTGATTTTATTCTTCAATTATATTTCTGTTATTTTTCTTATATCGATTTCTTATTTTAATTTTACTCATTCTTTCTTTTTCTTTCTTTCTGTCTTTCTTTCTTGATTCTCTTTTCTTTTTCTCTTCTTTTCTTTTTCTTTCTCTATCATTTTCTTGCTTTTTCACGTTCTTTTTCCCCTCTCTATCAATCTATCTCATTTCTTTTTTCGTTATCATTTTCTTTCTTTTCCTTGTTCTTTCTTTCCTTCTTTCTTTCTTTCTTTCTTTCTTTCTTTCTTTCTTTCTTTCTTTCTTTTTCCCGTTTATTGCCGGCTTTCCAATCTACTCCAGTGTACACAATCCCTCTACTTCCATACTTGATCCGAGTCATAAATCGTAAACTCTTCTTTTTCTCCATCTTTCTTTTCTTTACTCTCCCTTTTCCTCTTTATCGCTTTCTCTTTGTTGTTTTTTCCTTTTTTTAATCATCGTTTTCTTTCTTGATTTCTTTCTTCAATTCTGTTATATTTCCTATATCGATTTCTTATTTTAATTTTACTCATTTTTTTTTCTTTTTGTCTTTCTTTCTTGATTCTCTTTTTTTTCTTTCTCTATCAGTTTTTGCTTTTTCACGTTCTTTTTCCCCTCTCTATCAATCTATCTCATTTCTTTTTTCGTTATTATTTTCTTTCTTTTTCTTGTTTTTCTTTTCTTTCTTTCTTTCTTTCTTTCTTTCTTTCTTTCTTTCTTTCTTAGACAGAATATTGGCATAAAATGTCGGCATTCTACGCTACTTCAAACAAAAGTTTACTAAGGAACCCATTCATTAGTACTGGAAAGAGCGGTAACAGCTTCTTTCTTTTTATGTGTTCTTTCAGAACATAGGCGATCATGGTCCTCCACTTCTCCCTATACCTTGTGACTCTTAATAAGTTTCGTCCCTCTGCCACCGTCCCCAGACCATGTTCTGCCATCCACTTGCTTAAGCCCACCAGGTATGTCATACGTTGATATACCTTTCTTTTTTTCCCTTTATTCGACTTGTGAATATCAGATTCTCCAGGCTGTCCTTTCTCATTACGTGTCCCAAAAATTTCATCTGCCTCTTCCTTATGTTAAGTATAAGCTTCCTCCTTGTTTGCATCCCTTCCAAAACCTCATCGTTGCTCACATTGCTCCGTCCATGATATCCTTAGCATCCTTCTGTAGAACCACATCTCCGCTGCCTCGAGACTCTTCTTCGTCTTTGAGGAGACCGTCCAACATTTCCTGCCGTATAGGAGGACAGATGTCATGTAGCAGCTCAATACTCTTTTCTTTGTCACCAAAGAAATCTTCCTGTCTCGCAGTACTCTGCCCAGCTTTTGGAATGCATGAACCGGAAAAACCTATTTTCAGAGAAAGCTTTTATAAATTTCAAGCGGAAGTAGTACTGATTACTCGGCCAATGAATGCTGAATGTTTCCTTATAAGGAAACGGTAATATTACTATTCGCATTTTCGGAGAGCATGCTTAACCTCCCGCGTCTGTCTTTCTTACTTTCTTTCTTTTTTTCTTTCTTTCTTTCTTTCTTTCTTTTGTCCGATTATTGCCGGCTTTCCAATCTACTCCAGTGTATGCAATCCCCCTCCTTCCTAACTTTTTTTTTATAAACTTGTTCCGAGTCATAAATCGTAAACCGGCTCAGTGTAAATCAGTGAATATTCCCCTTAGAGTTCGTTACTTATCGACGGTATGTTCGTACGTTAAATATTAGAAGAATACTCGCTGAGGAATTGTCGAAACAGAGGTGGAGAGGAATTTCCCTTGAAGTTCGCGGTCAAAATCTCAAGTATTCATATTCTTTGCCTTGATGGCACGATTTATGAGATTTCAATTGCCCTTAGAAACGAAAATAAATATCCTATCGGCCATAACAATCTGTGTAACTCTTTTGACATTGTCAAAAACAAGTGGTTAAATCAATCTTTACTTCTTCTTCTTCTTCTTCTTCTTCTTCTTCTTCTTCTTTTTACCATATCCCCCAGGACGTTGGTGATCATGGCTCTCCACAATCTCCTGTCCTTTGTAGCTCTTAATAAATTTCGTCTTTTTGTTATCTCTCCTAAATCCTGTTCTGCCATCCGTTTACTCACGCTCGTTAGCTCGGTCATGCGTTGTTTTTCTTCTGACACTCTTGCCTTCAGTCTGTCCTGTGAGTATCAAATTTTCCAATCCTTCTTTTCTCATAGTCCTGAGTATGACAATGAACTACATTCGGCAGAAAGGCCTCTGATCGGGACATTGAAGGCTTTGAGGAACGTGGAATCACCTCATAATTGCTGTTGTTCCGAGGTCGACCTTGGCCCGCGGTGGTAAGGACCTGTTTGGGTCCTAGCTATGGACAAATACTTTACAACTAAACAAAACAAAACTCTATAAAATATAACGTGAACAAACTACAACATAAAACACTCATATCACCGTCTCTATTAATTATGTCCACACAAACATGTATATGCACAAAAGCTGAGTATCATCTACCATGTATGCAATTGTGAAAGCAGAATAACATATATCATATTTTTATTATTTCAAAACTCCCAAGGAAATTAAATTTCGACATTGAATGATCAATATAGAGTTGATATGCTGTTAAACAACCAAAACAAACCCTTTTCTCAGTATGCGTTGTATTAAAAAAAAAAAAAAAATCAATGCCATGTACATTTAAATTAGCGATGATGACTCTCTTCACATTATTTTTTTCTTTGTTTGAATTGAAACCGGAAATGAATATCTAGTTCTGTCCAGAGAAAATTGTTTCAAATATAATAAAGAAGAAAATGTTTAATGTATTACTTTATGGACAAATGAAAAGAAAACAACAAAAAACAATTATTTACATTACACAAGATGTTTCTAATTCACCTGGTCAGTAATCATCAGACATTTGGCTTCATTCCAATATACAGAGTGCCCCCCACCCCCAATTGACACTATTTTTTAGTCTAATAACATATCCAATTTTCGCTCAAATGATCTCAAATTTTAACAAAATGTGCAAAACTAAGTTGACTATGACGGACTTATATCAATGAAAATCTACCAGGAAGAAGGATCAGGCGTACCATTGATAATGACAATGTGCTGCTGAAATGACCACTACCTTAAGCTAACTTGACACCTTATGCTTTTTTTCTATGGGGCTATGTGAAAGGACAGGTCTATATCCCCCACTCTTCCTACAATCCTAGAGGAACTTAAGCAGAGAATCACTGAGGCGCTTGAGAATGTTATGCAAGTTATGCGACAGCGTGTTTGGCAAGACTTACCTTATGTATTGTCAAAAGTGGTGCGCATATTAAACATTTGTGAAGCTTTGTGTAACCGATTATAAAACCAGCTTCCCTTTGAACATCTTGTTCGAATTTTGATGAATAATCTTTTAATCTTCAAAATTTAACTATTTAATTTCTTTTACCTGGGACATATAGTTGCACATAGATTCACATTTTAAACGCTGTCGATTTTGGAGAGACACCCTATATAATAAAAACGAAAATATTTAATCAAATATGATAAACAACTGCCTTTGGTAATCTAAGAATATTTTTTTTATTTACTTTATCATTTTGATTGTACTTATTCAGTTATACCTTTTCGTAAAGTTTTCAACTCCTGTATTTTAAAGTGTTAATTTTAAATTAATTAATAAAAAAATTAGTTAATTTTATGTTGACTTGAAAAATGAAGACCAGTTCTTAAATAACCTGAATCTGGACATTCTCCGCAAAACACACTGTAATTGTAAGTTTTCTAAAGCAAAATTCGTTATACTTATACGTAATCACCAGGCCACGTATGTTTCGTTCGAAAATCCGCTTTTAAGTAGGTGCCCAAGGGGGTCGTCAGTGATGTTTTTGATTTGGTTCATCAGGGAGTTTCGGGTCTTTCAACATCATACTCCCCATCACCAAATCGACCCAATCAGAGTAGATCAACCCCTGATTCCCCCTTCCAAATAAACGCTAACAGCTACTCTGGCCTTTTTAAAGAATAAGAGGAAGAAAGACCACATATTCCGCACATCCAATTGGATGTTTGTAACAACCAATCCGCTGCGCGAACTATCATTTAAATGGCCCGCGGTGGAGACTGGCTTCTTTTCTTATTTCGGTGGATTGCAGTTTCGATGGATAATTGAGGAGGTAACCTTAATGTTCCAAAATCTTACCCTATTTCCTTAAGTATTGTAAGGTTTAATTATTGGCCGTTTTTATTTTATTTGTACTTTTTTCTTTTCTTTTGGTGGGGATACTTGAACTCAACCCTATTATCACATTTTATAATTTAGCCTGTTTCTTAACCTTATTGCATGTTAACTTTAAATAGATGTATTCGCAAAATTAAGATAATAATTGTCCATAAACATGGCGTATATATATATATTTGCCGTACATACAAAAATGAAATTAAAATAAAATAAAATAAAAGTACAATAAGCACTATAATATTCCTTAACATTGATTTCTGTAAATATAAATATAAAAGTGAACATTAAAGTCAAAACTCAGAGGCGACATCCTGTTTCATGCTAGGCGCAATCGTCAGGCAGTCTAAACATTGCGTCCAGCATGAAACAGTCCGTCGCTTCTGAGTGTTGACTTCAATGTTCACTTTTATATATATATATTTCCATACGCTCTATCTCTGATATTGAGCACTTTACCCCATAAATATATATAAATCTCTGTATAGCACAATCTCCTGATGATGTAGATAATATTTCTAAGCACAAAAGCACAAACGCACACACTCACAGAGAGAGAGAGAGAAACAGAACATATTTTAAACAATTTGAAAAACCTAAGTTTAAATTATGTGCTATATGACTGGATTGATATTCCTTCTCTAAAAACGCAACAATATTTTCTGTAAAGAAGATAGATAGATAGATAGATAGATAGATAGATAGATAGATAGATAGATAATGTAGAGACTGGGATAGATAGATAGATAGATAGATAGATAGATAGATAGATAGATAGATAGATAGATAATGTAGAGACTGAGATAGATAGATAGATAGATAGATAGATAGATAGATAGATAGATAGATAGATAATGTAGAGACTGGGATAGATAGATAGATAGATAGATAGATAGATAGATAGATAGATAGAAAGAAATAAAGTTAGAAAGAAAGATCGGAATAATGAGAAAGATCGATGGAAAGAACGAAAGAAAAGAAAAAAAACGCAAAAACTTCTAGCTCGATTGATAGATAGATTAATAGATATATAAAGAACGTTAGCTTTAACTCAGATAGAGAGGGGAAGAATGTATGAGTGTGGGTGTGTGTATATGTGAGTGAGTGAGTGAGAGAGATAGAGGCGTAAAGGAAATGAATGACTGTGATGTAATGTTAAATTTTGCTTTGGTTTTTCTAGGTCAAAAATCATAACAAGCCGAACTTTATCACACGCTCCTGTCAAAGCATGTCTATTTAGCCTGCCTTGTTTCAAGTAATGTGATATTGTTTTCCTTCGGCATCGTCTTTTTAATTGTTTACAGCCAGTATAAAGCAAACTGTCTCCATTGACCATTGTTGCGAGTCAGGCAAGCGACAGACCCTGGACGCCCAAGTGAAGCCAGTAAGTCTGCCTATTTGCGATTGTCTGCTCTCCGTGAGTGCAAGGGACCTCCTTTCCCAAGGAAAAGCAAACAGGTGTGCGTCCAGAACAAATACTCCCACAATTATGCCGGCTAGATTCTCCACCAAAGTGATTTAGTATTACCGTCACTTACATCGTATCAATCAACCTGAGCATTTTAACTTTAAATATCAGATTTATCACCTATTCTTCTTCATTTGTGTGCCGTGTCTCTTCAGGACGTGAACGAGTATGGCCCTCCACAACTTTATATCCTCCATTTATACCCCCACCTCTGTTCATGTCCTGCTATCCATTTGCACACATCCAGTAGTTTGATTCTGTCCTTCTCGCCTTCCATATGTCCTGTGAGGGAACTGGACGAAAACTCAGCGGGCAAAATACCGGCCACTTATCCCAAAATTAGACAAAATCCCAGTCTTATATGTAAACTGAAAATTCAAGAAAATTTTAATTCAAGTTTTAATGTCAAATTGAGTTTTTCTTCACATAAAATCGGGCCTTATGGGATAGTAGGACTCAATAATTATGAAATATACCGTATATTTGACATTGGTACAGAGTAATAATGGCACAGATAAAAATGGCACAGGTGGGAAAATAGGGAAAAAAATAGCAAAAAATCGAAAACATACAGGAAAAAAATGAAATGAACACGTTAGCTATTTAGTAAATTCTGAAAAAAATATATCTGTAAATATCGAACAACTGACTCTTTAATCAGACGCCAGTTGACTCCTGGTTCAGTTATCATTAATTTTGATGTCAGTGGTTCAATTGCGGGAATTTTGGTTCAATTATTGAACAGATCACACAACTAGAAAGCATTGCGCTGAATCCTAGATTAGAAACAGTTTCAGTTGTCCTGGATCCGTCAAGAACACCATTGATATCAGTGGCTCTATCACAACCACATCATGGAACTTATAGCAAGTAATAAACGAAAAGAGAAGATTTGCTTCCAAGGATGCATGTATACAAAACAGATTGCAAGATCAACTACTGTCAGATGGAGATGTGTTAAGAGAACATTTTTTGTAAGGGTACCATGACTACCAGCCTTGATATGACTGATCCTGTACCATGACCACCAGCCTTGATATGACTGATCCTGTACCATGACCACCAGCCTTGATATGATTGATCCTGTACCATGACCACCAGCCTTGATATGACTGATCCTGTACCATGACCACCAGCCTTGATATGACTGATCCTGTACCATGATAACTAGCCTTGATATGACTGATCCTGTACCATGACCACCAGCCTTGATATGACTGATCCTGTACCATGATCACCAGCCTCGATATGACTGATCCTGTACCATGACCAACCTTGATATGATTGATCCTGTACCATTGATATGACTGATCCTGTACCATGACCACCAGCCTTGATATGACTGATCCTGTACCATGATCACCAGCCTCGATATGACTGATCCTGTACCAGCTAAGAAACAACAACCATGCTCCTGATTATGCAGCTATTGCATCCACAAAATGCATCAACAACATGAAGAGAAAAGCAGGAGAAACTTATTTTTTCGCTTTGTGACATTTTTTTTTTTCTATTTTCCCAATTGTGTCCTTTTTATCCGTACCACTTTTACCTGTCCCATTTTAATTGTGCTATTTTTACCTGTGCCGGTTCAACCTGTGCCATTATTACCTAAATACATGGACATAACCTTGTTAGATAACGTTTTTAGAGGTTGGATCTATTTACTATGAATTTCTGTTGCAAACAAAACGGACCCATAAAATCGTGAAGTAACTGACAGAAATTGAGCTTTCTTCGATTTTTGGCTAATTTGTGACACGTAAAAAACTGATCTTGGATTATTTCACGAATAAAATTTTAAGCAGTTAAATTCAGCATAATGTATACAATTTTTTGTGCTTTGCTTACGTTTCGGAGCAAACTTAAAAAAAAAAACCCTTCTACTTACTTCTTTCACATAAAGTCAAGTCTTATGTGATACTAAGACTCCCTAACTATGAAATATATCGCATATGTGACAGTGCTATTGTTAAAACACGATTTTTAGGACTTAGATTTATGTAACAATAAATTTCTGTAGTAAATAGAACGGGCCCATAAAACCGTCAAATAATCGACGGAAATAAATCTTTCTTGTACATACAAGTGTATATCGGCTATAACAGCAAGATTGTCCAAGTCGTGTAATAGCATGTGTAATTGTTCATCCACAAAATGTTTAGTATATAAAAACCACTAAACTGAGTTTCTTTTGTCCAGGTTTTCAGATAAGACTTTTAGCCATCTTGATACCATTTGTCGTAAGAATCACTGAAAAACTCTCTGAGATATTCAACTAGAAAGAGGATAGGTTAAAATTGTTTTGTCCGACCCAATGAGCAATGGTAAGAGGGAAAAAGATCATTCAGGCCTTCAGTAATGGTACCAAATATTCATACTCTGTCTTTCATCTTCAAAGTTCATTCAAGAATCATCAAGAGGACGGCGAATAAGTTTTAAATAGAGGGAACAGTAGGAAAACTGGATCAAGTGGTTACAACAGGAAGAGGGATCATCACTTCAACTTAGAGCTAAGGAGATCAATTAGAAAAGATCCAACTCAATCCATAAGACGTTTTGAGTTTCACCTATAACAGTGCAAAGGGCAGTAAAAAGAACTTGAAAATGAAATCGTACGTGAAACGTGTGAGACAACTTGTTACTCCAGGACAGAACGTTAGAAGGTTAGAGAGGGCGAAAATTATCTTGAATGAGTTCATTCGAAAATGATCTTGGATTCATATATATATATATATATATATATATATATATATATATATATATATGAACTTTGCTACCTATCCTTAGCTATGATTAATTAATGATGACAATATTATTTTCGTTTATGATCGATTACATCACGATACTTCCCTTAAGCTTGGAATGTAATTATACATTCTTGTTTCTCAAAGTAGAGTCCAATAGTATTATAAAAACCGAGGAGAATTCCATTAATATATCTTTAATCATTTCTAAGATACAACTGTTCAAAACTTAATCTAACGATTGGACAATTTTGCTGTTACACCCAGTATATATATATATATATATATATATATATATATATATATATATATATATGTGTGTGTGTGTGTGTGTGTGTGTGTGTGTGTGTGTGTGTGTGTGTGTGTGTGTGTGTGTATATATATATATATATATATATATATATATATAGTGGGGAAGAGATATATCGCTAGAAAGGCAGTTACATATGGCCTGAAGATCAAACTAATGCTTGAAACAGGCAGTCCCCATGCAGTGTTGATTCTTATGTCTACACTGTAAATGTCACACTCTTTGTACACATACACACACACACACGCAAACACACACACACCCACGCACACACACACACACACACACACACATATATATATATATATATATATATATATATATATATATATATATATATATATATATGTGTGTGTGTGTGTGTGTGTATATATTGGATATTATTACTAATGTCTCAATTTGGAACTAAAATTTGAATTAAAAATTCTTTGAATTTTCAATTTATTTATGAGACTGTTATTTTGTCCGCTGGTTTTTTGTTCCTGGATTCTTCCTGTGAACATCACATTCTCCAAGCACACTTTCTTTATTATGTATCTCAGAAATTTTAACATTTTCTGATTTTAAGTACAAGTAACTTTATTTGCTTTATTTTCCTCAAAACTTCCTTCTTTTTCACATGTTTCATCCATGGAATTCCCATCATTCTCCGGTACAACCACATCTCTGTTGCCTCAGATCACCTTTTCCTCTACCGGGGAAATTGTACAGCATTCACTTTTATATAGGAGGATTGATATTACGTAGCAGATGAGCAGTCTTATCACACCAAATTTAAATCGTCCAGTTTCAAGTGAGAAAATCTTTTAAGTCTGTCAGGATGAGGTCTATGTTAATTTCAGAAATCATTTTAGAAAAAGCGTTTTTTTTGTTTGTACTTTTTCTTTCTGTTGTATATCGCGTAGAAAGTTAAATACAAGATGCTGTTATCAATACAAATATTGTCTTAACATTTAACACTCTGAATTATTCATTACTTACATTTCATTGTTTTTCAAAATTCCTATGCCGCACTATTTGATTTCAATCATGAATATTTTCTGTTGCCATAGCAGGATATGACAACACAACTGCAAAATTCAAACAATATTATTCATTCATATCAGTCACTTGCAGTGGCATAATAAAATCTTTTCAAGAAAAGTCGCCTCTTGTACGTTAAAGATTAATTTTCTTCTTTTTTTTACAGTAAGTTTCGCCCAGTACAAAGCCCAGAGGCCACTCCAAGTAGAGAGTTTAAGTACTTTATGCAGATAGGAGGGAAAGATAACCCTAGACTTGAACAGGTTAAAATAGTAGTGATTGGGGAAATATCTTCTTATGAGGCGGTTTCACCGAACAGTTTCACGGGAAAAAGCTTTTCGAGTGGGACTTACTTCTCTCCACTGGAATTTCAAGGGAATGTGAGCGATTTGTTATATTGTAAGTTGCATAGGTTCGAAATGGCTGAACCAAGAAATGTAGTTCGTCTGAGCTCTTTCCACGGAAGTAACTATAGAGCGTTGAGTGGCTTCCTATACCCCGCCTATTTTTTTTTTAAATAGGGAATAGCTATGTGTGCATATAATATATCCCTACTTACACAGTGACTTATCTTTTAATCGACTCATCTAGCTCGTTCTGGTTGGCTCTGTTGGTCATGTTCCCTGAGGATGTAGGCGATTATGACTCTTCACAATTTCCTTCTTTCTATCTCTTTTTAATTTTTCGCCTATCTATCTATCTATCTATCTCTCTCTCTCTCTCTCTCTCTCTCTCTCTCTATATATATATATATATATATATATATATATATATATATATATATATATATATATCTGTCTGTCTGTATGTCTCAGTTTATTCGTGCCTATCTATCCATCTATCTAACTCAGCCTATCCAAATCTATCGATCTATCCATCTCAGCCTATTCATGTCTATCTATCCAACTTTCTAAACCTATTCATATCTATCTATCTATCTATCTATCTATCTATCTATCTATCCCAGCTTATTCATATATATCTAGCTAGCTATGTATTTAGCTATATCAGCCTATCCATATCTATCTATCTATCTATCTATCTATCTATCTATCTATCTATCTCAGTTTATTCGTGCCTATCTATCCATCTATCTAACTCAGCCTATCCAAATCTATTGATCTATCCATCTCAGCCTATTCATGTCTATCTATCCAACTATCTCAACCTATTCATATCTATCTATCTATCCCAGTCTCTACATTATCTATCTATCTATCTATTACAGTCTCTACATTATCTATCTATCTATCTATCTATCTATCTATCTATCTATCTATCTATCTATCCCAGCTTATTCATATCTATCTAGCTAGCTATGTATTTATCTATATCAGCCTATCCATATCTATCTATCTCAGTTTATTCGTGCCTATCTACCCATCTATCTAACTCAGCCTATCCAAATCTATTGATCTAGCCATCTCAACCTATTCATGTCTATCTATCTATCCAACTATCTCAACCTATTCATATCTATCTATCTATCTATCTATCTATCTATCTATCTATCTATCTATCTATCTATCCCAGTCTCTACATTATCTATCTATCTATCTATTACAGTCTCTACATTATCTATCTATCTATCTATCTATCTATCTATCTATCTATCTATCTATAATCCTTCGCTACTTTTTTCTTGTTTTATTTCCCGTTTCTTTCTTTTTTTCTGTCTTTCTGTACTTTATTTCTCTAAAAGTCCAAACATCTACCCAGTGACCTATCTTTTATCCAACCCAACTGAATTGTTCTCCTCTGTGTGTCGTTTCTCTTCAGGACGTTGAGCAATCATGGCTCTCCACAATTTCCTTTCCTTTGTAACTGTTAATAAATTTTGTCTTTTTCTCAGTCAGTTATGTGCCATACGTGATACACGCTTAGGCGATCATGTATCTTTCGATACATGACTGACAAGGCAGATTTTTTCCGCGCTAGGTTGCCAATTCTTTCTGCGATAAACCAGTTGCTATCCAAGGCTATAGAACCCGGTCTACCCTGCCCATAACTGGTAGTGGGAGAAGAAGAAGATTCATAACTTTCCCATGGGTGTTAGCACGTAAGTGAATGTAATGGATTCGACAGGAATTCGAACCCGGCTCTCCGATTCCTCAGTCCGAGCCGCTATATCACTTCTAAACCTTGTTCCGCCATCCATTTAGTCAAGCTTGCCTTCAATATGTCCTCTGAGTATCAGATTTTCCCAGCCCCCTTTCCTTATGATGTGTCCTCGAAACCTCAACCGTCTCTTCCCGATGTTAAATATAAGTTTCCTTTTTGTTACCATTTTCTCGAAAACTTCGTCGTTGCTCACGGTTCATGGTATACTCAGCATCCTTTTGTAGAACCACATTTGTTACAGTCAGCAAAAGACTTGAAACTAGGGTGAGAGTTCACCTTCCAGCAGGACTACGACACTAAACGTACAGCCAGAGGTCCGAGAGAATGATTTCGATCGTTAGTTGTCTTTATTTAAGGCCACGTCATTATGCATGTTTCACCCAGAACTGGAGGCCTATCTCAAATTGCGTCGTTTCACTTCTTCTCATCCTCATCTTGTCGTCAAGAGCAGATAATTACTCCAACATTTAAAACAAAATAACGTCAGCTAAAATGTAAATAAGTCAGCTTAAATTAAGTTTTTAAGAGAAAAAGTAAGCAAAGAACAAAAATATCTTACATACCTTCTCCACGACCCAGAAAAGGAAAGCTAGTAGTAGATGTTACAAGTGTTTCACCCACAACTGGAGGCCTATCTCAAATTGCGTCGTTTCACTGGGAGCGAATGGTTTTAGTTTTTGGTTTGGGTGTGTGACAATTTGCTGCTGTAGAAATTTAAAGAAATAAAAAGAGGAGATTAAGAGCAGAATTAATTTGATCCCAAAAGTTAATCCTTTTTTTTTTAAATTTTTTTATATTCTTTCTTTATTAAGGGCTTATTATAATTAATATATAATTTTGTCGAGCTTCGGATCCATCAATTCCCACTCCGATAACAAGGGTGTACGAAATGTTATATGCATTTTAATCTTTGAATTAATTATTCAAGTTAAAACAGTTTGAATGACGCAAAAAACATATCTAGGTATATTATGTATTGTTTCCCGCTGTCTCTCTTGCCTTCAATTTGTCTTGTGGGTATCAGATTTTCCAAGCCCTCTTTCATCATTATGTGCCTAAATATTTTAACTATTTCTTCCGGATGTTAAGTATGAGTTTCATTTTTGTATTCGTTTTCTCTATAACTTCGCCGTTTTGGTTGGTACACACCTAAATGCGTACAGAGGAATTTCCTGCCAGTAAACTCACACAGGCTGTACTTCCTGAGAGTTAAAACACCCCGGGTACCTGCCTATAAGTGTCTCGACATAGCGCCGCGGTGTCTCTTCGGAAAGGTTTTGTTGTGCAATTTGTAGTCGCAGTCTGAACATTTGCCTTTCGAGAATTTATACCTGGAATGCATAAACATGGCGTTGTACTTGTTCCGCACAGAACATAAGCAAAGAAGACGACAGCTTTAAGGCCTTTGTCGACTCCGTATATCTTCTTTTTTTTTCCCTTTTCTCAGAGCAAAGTCTAAAGCAAATTAATTCTTTTTCATCGCTTCACACGGTGGCTGAATACAATCACTGAATTATTTTTTAAAAACGAGATGAGAACATGAAACAACATTCTACTGAACGATTTTTAATTTCTCCAATATATATTCATTCTCCCCCTCCCCACAAAACGCCTCCTCCTCCTCTTCTATGGAGAATATAGCCATAGTCTCATCATGATAGAGCATACTGTTGTAGATACTGCAGCAAGTATGTAAACTTACCAGATCCGCTCCTAACTGGCTTTGAATTCTTCTAGACTGGTAGCCAAGCAATGCTAGAGAGTTCAGTCTACCCAACTATTTAACTCTTACCTGGAGGAGAAGAGATGAATTCATGCCCTTAACATGGTCATCTGTGCGAAAGTAAACGCAACATACTCGACTGGAATTTGAACTCGCAAAACCAATTCCGCATTCTGTATATTTAGCCCCTACTCACACAAACTTCTCCAAGTGTTAAAATTATATTCCGTAACCAGTATTTAGCCACAGATACCTTTATATTTCTTTTATTCCAAGAGCTTGAAATTCAGGAAATAATTATTTCAAAATAGGACACGAAGAATATTTTTCCTGAAGTTCGGGCTTCAAAAATAAAAAATAAGAATTGCAAAGCCTTTCTTAGGAATCGTGGGCATAATTAGAACTATTTTTGTGGGAGTCCCCAGGTTTGTAACTAAGGTTTGTAGCTTGCTTCTTCTCATCCTCATCTTGTTGTCAAGAGCAGATAATTACTCCAAGATTTAAAACAAAATAACGTCAGCTAAAATGAAAATAAGTCAGCTTAAATTAAGTTTTTAAGAGAAAAAGTAAGCAAAGAACAAAAATATCTTACATACCTTCTCCACGACCCAGAAAAGGAAAGCTAGTTGTAGATGTTACAAGTGTTGTGTTTACTCACAAGTCCGGCACATCATTGTACTAGAGACTGTGATAAGACATTCATTTGGAATGAATTTGAACTTAGTGGCGTCTAATCGAAGGCTGTCATTCCATTGTTTAGCGGTTGAGGATCACATGACCGATCAGGAGTAGTGCATATTAATTGCGGAAAATAAAGGAAAGAAAACCCGATTGGTGTTTTATCCCCCTTCAACATTCAACATTTTAATTTCTCTCATGATAATCACAATATTTCTCGCTAGAGTCATGACAAAGAAGCCTCGCGCTTTTTTCTTCCTGTCAAATATTCAGTGGCATGCAAGAGGTTAGATAATACGTGATGTTTCAGCACTCATTTATCTGAAAAGTTTCGATTCCTTAATACCTGCCTCAATCACAATCTTTCGCTATTCCTTCGGATTTCCGTACCCCGAGGCCTCAGTAATTAAAATATCAGAGCGAGGATCGAATTCTCAACACGACAGTCCTGGCGTATGAGTCAAAATGGCTAACGAACACTCGATCTACGGTAACTGAATAAGTGTTTGAATGAAACAAATAAATGGAGATTTCACAGCATATCTTTTGTTGGTTTTAGGAATTCTATGCTTGTTGAAAAATAATGAAAATGACAGAAGCAATTGAATCAGATTTTGAATTGAGCCACGGTAAAAAAAAAAAAAATGGGAAGGAAACACTTAAGGGAAACAAATTGAAATGTTTAACCTTATATATTTATACTTTGTCCCTGTCTTAGGTTTCAGCTAATTTTATCTCTGCATGAACTGTCACTAAACACTCTACGAGGATTTTTTCTTTCTTTCTCATTATGTTCGTAGCTATCTATCTATCTATCTATCTTTCTATCTATCTATCACGTTATGTCCATTTGTTCATATCTATGTAGCACAGTCTATCTATCTATCTATCTATCTATCTATCTATCTATCTATCTATCTCAGTCTGTTCATATCCATCTATCTCTTTCATTCTGATTCTATCTCTTTATCTATCTCTTTATGCCCGTCTGTTCGCATCTATCTATCTATCTATCTATCTATCTATCTATCTATCTATCTATTTCACTCTGTTAATTGCTGTCTCTATATCTGTTTATTTATTTGCCTATTCAGTCTGTTCATATCTATCTCGCTAAACTCTTTTCTATTCATATCTATCTCTTTCAGTCTGTTCATATCTATCTATATCTATATCTATGTCTGTGACTTAACATCTCGACTTCAGTCACTTTCTCACAGACGTGATGTGGCTAGCCTCTGTCTTTTCTGCAAATATTTTCATGGCAACTGCTCTAACGAGTTTCCCCCTAGTGCCCCGATTACATTTAAGCGTGCTACTAGAATGGCATCTAATTCCCACTGTTTCCTGTTTAAATATTTAAATGTCACCGTCAATTCTACTCCAACAGTTTCTTTTCCCGAAATTCCCGGCTGTGAAATTCCCTTCCTCTTAATTGCTTCCTTGATAAATACAATCTTCAAAAACTTAAATGAAACATCTCCTTTTGCCTTTATTCCCGTTCATCTTTTATCCTTTCTGATATAGTGGAACACACCTGTTCTATAGTTAATAGACTCTCCCACCTATAATAAGTAGGAGTAGTAAGAGCAACGAGTGAGTCGGTCAGTCAGTCGATGTCGGACGACAGTTAGTCGAATATAAAGTATCAGCGACCACAACTAGATTACTCTGCGTTATACCTATTATATCAAGTTCCTAACGTTTTGTACGTCGAACCTATTTTAGGACCGACTTAGTACAAATACAAGCCTCCACTGTGAAATAACTCCACAACACTTTCCTTAATTCCTCTATACCCAGTCTTTTCTCTGACTTTCACTCTGAAAGTCCCTGAGAGCTAGTGGCACTCCCGCCTTGCTTGGGGTGAAATGCATATATATATATATATATATATATATATATATATATATATATATATATATCCAAATACAAACGTGTTCCTTGGTTAACTTTAGAATTTTAAATTTAAAATTGAACTGTTAATTTAAATTGGATTTTTATATTGATTTCTAATTTAATCTAAACTTTAATGTACTAATTGATTCTACTTATACAAGAGTGTGTTGTCATGTTATTTAAATTGCCATATACTTGTATTCTGATTGGCCATCATAGGTTACGTGACGTAGTTTTCCGTACTGGTGGGGTTTCGTTTGGCTTTTGAAGTAAAAAGATCGTTTGCTTGCTAATCAACATCATAACTTGATGAGACACCAGCAGTGTTGAAACAAAACTGCAACATTTGTAGCGATCTTATAACATTCATATGTTATAAATTCCAATAAATACTATTACTTCTACTTGGTATATATATATATATATATATATATATATATATATATATATATGTGTGTGTGTGTGTGTGTGTGTGTGTGTGCGTGCGTGCGTGTGTAATTATTTTAAAAAGATATGATTCTATCGCTACATAAGAGTTCTCATGTTTCAAAAGCAGAATTTGAAAACTTCAATTTAATTATAGAAATAGTACCCAGTTGTGTTTCATCCTCAAGCGAATTTTAGAACGAGCACTGTTTTTTTTAAAATAAAACAAAAATACTAAAGAACTTCGGTTTATTAACGTAACGGTTCTTTCCTATTTTTCTATATATTTGTGCGCACACACACACACACACACACACACACACACATATATATATATATATATATATATATATATATATATATATATATATATATATATATATATATATCCATCCGTTAGTATGTATCTATCTATTTCAGTAATTACCCCCACTGACTATTTGCATATTTTCTAAGGAAATGCAAATATTTACAAGTACCTACTGAATTTAACATAAATTGTCGATTCCGTGTTTAGTTTTGAATATTTCGTGATTTTTTAAAAAGTTTTAGTCTATAATATTCATAGTTATAGATTTTTCTGAAAATTGGTGCAGTTTAAAATTATTCGGCCCCTTATGGAAATTGTGAAATAATATTGCTCTATGGTAATTGTATTTTTTTTCTTAATTCGACATTTAATAAAAACACCCTTTGAGAAAGACATAGTATTGACCCGATTCTATAAAATTCTAAAAGGTAAATAAGAAGACCATATTCTAGTGTCACGTACCGCAATAACATTCGTTCTGTAACCATGGCGAAAACGGTTGAACTTGACAAAAAGCTCCGAATGAAGGTAGCTGATGTGTGCAAACAAGATGGTGGACATACAACACCTTTCAAGGGTTTAAATGTTCCTCGATCGACAATTCGAAGCATTATCAAGAAGTGCAAACAAACTCGTTGTGTTGAGAATAAATTAAGGACTGGTAGAAAACGGTTAATTTCTGAGACAATGGAAAAGAAAATTGTTAGAGATGTTTCGAATAATCCTCACTCAAAGACAAAGGATATAGTCAATGATGTAAAGACATCATAGTTTAATGTATCGACAAAAAAAGTGACTAGATGCTTTCATCGAGCAGGACTACGAGCTTGAAACCCCCTTGCTCAAGGTTTAGATGCAGATTAGCTTATGCTAGACGCCAACTGGAAAAATGGGAGAAAATATTGGAACACTTATGAAACCAAATTAGAATTATTGGGTCACATCAACTCCCCTTACATCTGGTGGAAATTGAATGAAATTCACAAACTCAAAAATAGCCTGCCTACAGTTAAGCACGGTATTGGGAGCATTCTGCTCTGTGTATGTTTTGGACCAGGAAAACTAGTGGAAGTAGAGGGTAACATAGATAATGAGAAGTCCTTGGTCATTCTTAAAAATAATATAAAGCAATGTGTACGAAAGCTGTCTTTGTGGCGTCAATGGATGTTCAGACATGACAATGACCTGAAATATATGGCTCGAATTGTTACAAAATTGTTATGTGGAGAACTTGGAGAAGGGAATTAACAGGAGATTGTAGTGCCACGCCTACATTTTCTCGAATTCTCATTGGTTAATAAATAGGTGATACTTATTATAGGACAATTTAACCATCGCAAGTAATTCAAATTTTTATCTAAAATCACGGATTGGTCCATTTCCTGACCAATCGCGTATTTTAGTATCTTTTCTATATTTTTGGCGCTAAGCTATCCGGAGCCTACCAATCGATATAAAAGAATTTCGCTATCAACCAAACCACCAGTTGCAGTTCAATTCTTGGAAAATAAGGCACGGCGCTATATTGACATTTTAATTCTTAATTATTACTCATTCGAGTAATCATACTAATTCCTGTTGATATCACTCATGAACATTACATCTTTCTACACTGATAAAACACTGTGGAACTATTCTGTATTTAGCTAAGACTTCAATTGAACTTTGTAGTTAAATTACATTCAATTTTGTACTCAACATTTCTTAGCTAAACTTAGCCTTTTTTATTACGGAAAAAGGGGAGCAACTTTCTTTATACTTATTGTTGAAATTTGTATACCATTGTTAATACAATATATTATTAATGTTCACTGAGCTTGATTTTTTTTCCTTGATGTTTAAGTTTAATGTATGGATGTTGATTATCTTGAAACACGCAGCCGCATTTAATTTGATCAACCCAACTACTAATCTCACCATAACAAGATAACTGATAACTGACATCCATTAAACATGGCACGTGGAACTAGAACAGTCTACCCCAGTGAGCGAAATAAAGGATTCAGTTCGACATTCCAACCACCTGGTAGAAGGCCGGAGCGTACAACGGCCGAAACGTTGTAATAAATATGGCGACAAAGATGAGGACAATAGTCCAAATAATGTAAATAGTGTACAAATTTATTGTAACCTAATTATTTTCAGTAATAATGCAGGTGAACAATTCAACTAGAAAAATTGAAAATAAATACAATGTATCTAAATACGAATTAGAGACATGTCATAATAGATCATTCCATCTTTAAAAAAATCAACAATTTAATTCAGCACCTTTTATTAATATTATTCTTTAATTTACTAATAGTCCCCACCGTACTAAGTCAGGACCGTTGCTATGGTCTCGTCCCACCCCCCGTATTTATGATACCCACCCACAATCTATGATAGGGTGACCCTCATTCTACTACATCTCAATTTTCATAAGGTAGTATTCATATAAAATACAAATTTGGTTGTTACCTAATTATGTACAATAATGCATCTTATGCAATATATGTGAACAACTCAAATAGAAAAATAGAAAATAAATACAATATATCTACATACGAATTAGAGACATGTCATAATAAATCCTTCCATTTTAAATAAATCAACAATGTTTTGCGGCAGTTTTTAACATCAATCTGAGGTTTTTTTCTCAGAAAATTGAATAATTTTACCACATTCAACATTATGGATAAAATAATAGTAATTTCTATATAATATTTTATCGAAATTTAGCACGAGAAAAACAAATTCATGTATTTGGACGAAAAAGAACTCAGAATGACATCAAATTTCGCGAAAATAATTCATCCTTTAATAATAGTTAGATGTACTAACTTTTCAGTTGTCCGGAATGGTACGTTACATGCCTGTGTCTCATCTATTGAAATCCTTCTGCGTCCTATTTACTGTATTGCATTCCTGAACTAAATTCTGTTCTAGTGAAATGTAAAAAAAAATAAAATAAAATTGTCTGGAATATGGAAATTCAAAACTGCTGAACACCAGTCAGCTAACCAGATTCGTAAGGTTTTTTTTTCTTTCTTCAATAAAATATTATTCATAATAGTCACCTCGAAACATCCATATGTCATGCTTCTTCAGGAAGTTGGCGATCATGGTTCTCCGCAATTTCCTTTTATTTTCTAGTTATTTTATGTATATTATTTTCATTAATTATTATCTGAATGAATCTTTAGAATGTATTTCGAATAATTTTCGCAGTTCTAAAGGATCATTTTCGTAGAATTATTATTTTTTTTTTTTGGAAATTTCCACGAAAATAAATAAGCGGCAGGTTGTTAAAATAAAAGTGGTTTGAAAGTTTCTCAAAAAATAAAAAAAAAATCATGCGGTACGATTACTATAGTTGTTGCAATTTCATTCGCTGCCATATATACGAGCACACACACACACACATATATATATATATATATATATATATATAGTGTAACCCGGATATAAGAGAGTTGTCGGGACCAGAGAAAATCTCTCTTATATCCGGGTTTCTCTTATATCCGGGTTACACTGTATATTATATTTTTATTATAAGAGATTATAATAAAA